AACACGTATGCGTGTTCATGCGCAGAATTCGCCAGTATCTCGACGGCCGCGAGGCGGATTGGTACACAGTTCGCAACTTTAAATAAATCAGTTGATTCGTGAACTTTTCTGTGCAGGTGCAAAACCTATAGACGGCACTTTAGAATGAAAGCCTTGAGGATTTTTAAAATTTTATACAAAAGACGAGGACGGTCAACCTTTACTTGAATTTTGAAAATCTTGCAATGCATGATTTTATTTATTTTTTTACTTTTCCAGTGAAAAAACTTTCCGAAATTTCCATATTTGATGGTAGTTTCATGGAAACCTCATTCTAGTCATGTCATTCGAACTAAACGTATGCGCCAATTTCTCGAGTGCATTAAATTGTTGTGTTTTCGCGCCGACATTCGCTTCTTCATTTCGCTTTGCATCCGTGATGTGAAAGATCTATAATTTTGAGTACTTATTTGCGAAGTGTGCTGTGAATTCTCGTCTCTTTAATTTAATTCACAAAAATAACAAGCCGAAAATATCTAAAAGAACACCTTCAGCTGTGCAGCAACCACCTGCTCACTTCAAGATCGTCACACGTATTGCCGGGCGCTTGCACTTTTAGTAGAGGATTGTTGCGAAATTGACAATCCGGCAATGTTATTGATGCGGTCCGAAGGAGGCCTCAAACTGGCTGGGAGCAGCTTCTCGAGCTTGCTGAACGTGCAGAATAACAGCACGCACGTCAAGCAAGAGCAAACATACTCATACCTCTGCTCTTTGACGCCCAAAAGCGACAAGAGTCCGGATACATCGGGGATCGACAGTCCCATGTCGGCACAGCTTACTTCCAGCCCTGAGCACATCGATGAGAACCATTTGATAAGGTAAGTAGTTGTAGGCCGACGAGCACTTCGGCTGTCCAAGAGGATGCCTATGCTACTAGGAGTTTCCACTCAAGCTGCTACTAAGGGTCAGCTCAAAACTCACGGTTCAAGTACCACTGTCATCATGGAAACACAAGGGGGTTTTTCTTCTCTCGTGCGCGCATACGCACATATTTTGCTCGCGAATGTGAACTTCTTTGCCTTCTCTTTCACACCCCGTGAGCGTTTTTTATTTTATTTTTACAAGTATTGAATTATTATTGGTCCAGTGACAGGCGTAGATTCAACACACATAATGAGAACAACGTCCTGCGAGGAATTATGCGAGGCAACTTCCGAACGAACTGAAATTATAATTTGATCAAATTAATGTTTTCCAAGATATACAGTATTACCCTATACGAGTTCAATTCAAACAAAAGTATACTCTAATTAATCATTGACGTTTTCAAAAGAAGAAATTGTGATAAAAGTCCATCCAGAAGTCAAATATATAGTCTGCAAGATGTGACCATTTTTAATTCACTTACTTCCTAATTGACTCATCTTACCACAACATTTTTGGCGTAAGATCGCACACCGAATGTTTTCATTTTATTTATCTCTCTCAGTGTTTCATTGGAGATTATTTAGATAGAAAAATATTATTTTTACACGAAAATCTGCGAAAGTGTTTGCTTGGGAATTACGTGATTCATATGGTAGCAAATTCACAAGTTTGACGTCGTGAGGAACTAAAAAAGTAGAGGAATTTTTATTTTGAAGAAATAAAAATTTGAGCGCAATCTTGTTGTTTCCTCACAGAAACAACTACAATTCAAGTAAAATTCTGTCGTGTTCATTTTATAATTGTTTGTTGAACCAAAAAGGTTCCTTTATTGTAGTTACACTTAAGAAAGAACAAGAAAGAATGCCTTCTCTGACGGCCCTGGTTTTTTAACTGTCTCAGCGCAGAAATAACTACCTTAATTGTTAATTAAGTCTGTCTGGCTTCCATCGCTTGTACTATGACGGATGTTCGAGATGATGAAAAATATTCAAGTGGTGTTTTTTTTTACCAAGAAACTTCTCGTATCTGTTTTATTCAACTGCCCCTCTTGAATCAACTCAGGAAACCTTAATCGTATAAGTACTTCCACATACAAATTAACAGAGAGAATTCCCTATTCACCGTAATACTTGGAATAATCGTTTAAATCATTATTGAAAATAATATTTCAAGTCAAGAATTAATTTTTTTTAATCAATCATCAAGCAAATGAGTTCATAATGAACATAATTCGCCACACGTATTTCCATGGTCTTCCTTCCTCTTCTCTCGTGAACGCACTGTTTTACTGACTGCGTAATAAGCCATGTATTCCACAAGAACGAAATTGAGAGTATATCAGTAACTCGCATGATACAATTTCCGCCTGCAACGAAATTCATAAAACATTGAACACGATTCCGAGATTGGAAATGAAGGAGTGAATGGTGTAGGGTTCTTCCGGTTTAATTCGCATTTCGAAATACTCTCGTCAATGAGCATTTTCTGGTTTGCTTGCGCAGGTTTTATTACCCGTCGAATGGGTCCAGTCAGACGTTGCTTCCGTTCGTCGGCGAGCATTGCGAAGAGGATGTCCGTACTTTCAACAACTACCGGCTATTAGACTCCCCGCATTCCTGCCAAGGCCCTGACAACGCATTGGCGACATCCTTGCAATCATTCGACGCCGATCAAGGCCCTTTGCCGATTTCCTTGTCCGACCAATACTTCGACGATCACTTCCGCTACAGTTCCCCAGAAGCCGAGCACAAAGCGCCGGAAACGAATGCGCAGCAAAGTGCAGCAACGCCTAGTGGCAAGAAACAGAAGCGTGGCAAGGGCCGCAAACAAGTTCCGAAGGTGCCGGGTGTGGCGGTGGTGAAAAAGCGGCGCCTGGCCGCCAACGCGCGCGAACGCCGCCGCATGTATAACCTCAACATTGCATTTGACAAACTGCGAAATGTCCTGCCTTCTATTGGAAAGGATCGGCAGATGTCCAAGTTTGAAACGTTACAAATGGCGCAGAGTTATATCACGTCCCTCGCAGACTTGCTCTGCAAAAAGTAATTTCTTGGAAAGGAGTGGGCGTTTTTTTTTCTGACTGTGCAAAAATGTAACAAAAAGCAATCTGAGATCTCTCAAGTGCTCGGTTTTCGTACACCTTTCAGGATTGGAGGCTGAGACCGGAATTTTTTCCTCATTTCCGTCTTGCTCTGTGGGCATTTCTCAGTATTTTCGCTTTGCAAAGAAGCTTTATGCATGCTCGGCAGCTTCTTCATTGATGAATTGTACGTGCTTTTTTTGCCTGTGCCTGTGTGCGAAATTTTGTGTTTCTGAATATTCTGTCAGCGGGAGAAGAGACCTCCCAGTTCACGCTTAGGGGAAATATGAGCTGAGGAGAGAAGGCTGATTTGATTATGAGAATTATGAATGTCCCTTTTTGAACCAATGTTTTCCTGGGAAAAATGAAGATGCCTTTGAACAGGTCCGTCTTACTTTTCATCCGATTTCATTCCAGCTTAATCTCGCCGAATTTCGACCAATTTCGACCGTTGGAGGAATCTCATGGCACAAAAATCGCAAAGGTAAAAATCTCACAAATGAATTAAATGAGAAAATAAGTTGGGAGATGCAATAATACCTGTGGGAAGGAATTTTATGAGTTCTTTCCTGCATGTTTGGCATTTTTGAGATCTTTCCCCTCCGCAAAATGCTTCAATTTTAAACGAAGCTGATTATTAATTAATTTGGAACGTTTAAAAAGCGATCAAGTCAGAAAGGAATTAAAATGTATTTCACGCAACATGCCAGTATAGGACAAAATCACGCTTGGCATTCACACCAGCCCAAACTGATACATTTGGCTTAGGCATAATGCCAGCACGGGCTTCAGGTTTTGGTTTCAAGGTTGCAAAGGCCCCGCCGGGAATCCACAGTTGCCCAAAGGAGCCTACACAACTCTCTGCTTTGGATGTTGAATCATGTTCGGAATGCAAAAGCAAGATTCCACAGTGTAGAAACTAATTAAAAAGTAAAGGAAGCTTCCGAGTTGACCTCGCATGGACAGCAGTTTTCCGTTTGAGTCCCCAGGATTATAACTGTTGGAGAGCATTGGTGACGCTCAATTGATTCCCTACGAAATCCATCCATCCCAATCAACCCGTCGCATACCAAAACCCACCAGCACCACGGATTGTGACATGATCACGACAAGGGCTCGACGGCTGTGTGAGGACTCTGGCACTGAGTGGGCGAGAGTTAGATTGATAAATGAGTGGGCGTCTTCTGAAGGTATCAATATTTTTTCCCCTCAGGTAATCAGCTGCCGATAATTAGCTATGAGGAATCTGATGCGATCGCGTGCCACCAGAGCTGGAGGTTTCTTGGTCTGGTCATGCAATAATCACGTTTCATCGAAACAACAAGAAAAGAAAATCGGTTGCCCAACGTTGGGGGGAAAAACTTTTCTAGACCCATCGATTGTTCCCAAGAAGCCCTTAATAACTTGCGCAATTTGGCCGAATCATCATTCTTTCTTGACACTCCCGCCGGAAAAATTCTGAATCTTTCTCGTGTGAGTAGCCGTGAAGAAGTTTCTTCTCAATGTTCTTCTGATCGAATGGTCCGAAATGAACTTTATTAGGGACAAGCAACTGTTCTTACCCGATGTGAAAAATTCCAGAATAGCTGTCCACATTTGCAGTGTTTTTTTTTTCAAATCTTCCTTCGTTTCACTTTTCGTAATCAGACGACTCACAAATAAATTCGAAGTGTCCTGACATGAGCCAATACTTTTAATGTAGCTATTTTGAACCACGCCTAGTTCACCAACATAAATTAGGTGCTTTGTCTTTCAAATTATTTTACTGCCTACAGTCCGTCGAAATGCATCAAGCACAGTAAAGAAGTCAGATTTGAAAATTTGTTCGCTCTGCAAACAGTTCCAAGAAAAATAGTGCAAACCAAAACTTGTGCAAGTTTCTAAGTCAAGCAGTTGAAGATGGTTGCTTTCGATGCCTTGAAAGCTTTTCTAAAATACTTCACGTATCTTCATAATTAAAATAATATTATTAAAAAAGGAGTGCATTTTAAATGTTGTATGTATCTAATATTATTATCAGGTGGATGCCCCAATGGCATCCACCTGAATCAGCACCGAATGATATCCGCACAAACACCGAAACTTTGTTGGTTCCAGCCTGACACCAGGTGTTCTGCATTTTTTTTTTCCAGTCAGCAGTGGCGACATCTGTTAACCCGCACGGGCCATGACAAATGCTTTCTACAGCAATACCCAAATTATCCAGAGAATATATAATGGCGAAGAAAATTCATGAAAACTTGTTTGAAGTTAGGACCGAAAACTTCTGCACAAAAATGGCTGTGGACAAAATCATTTGCATCCACTTCATTTTGATTTTCTTGTTCGCGGTTCCACTGTCAACAATTTCACTGCTTTCTACAATAATGTCAACACATCATATGCTGTTTTCGGGAAATGTTCTAGGTTCCTCACAAAATACAAACCATTTATTGCTAACACCTTTGTATTGTACAGTATATTTCGGGGACTCTAATCCGGAAAGTAAAGGTTATATGCACAGGTTATGCTATTTACTTCTGATGGAGAATCGTTTCTCGCGAATCACTCAGGGCAGTCTGGGGGCGTTTATCATTATTTACAGGAGGGGTATCTGCCTCGTCTATTCGTTCGTATCTCTCAAAGGTTAATGCATTGAGGGAAACGCGAGGATCCTGAATGTGACCAAGTGGGGATCTTGTGATGCAGTACTTGGAGAAAATGTGCGTAAAATGGGCGGCATGCGACCGTTGATTACTGGGTCACCGTTACGGGAAACTCATGAATACGAGCGTGCCCCGTGGCCAGCGCGAGGAAAGGCAAACGCACGTAAGCGACAGAGGCCAATAATTACGTCAATTAATGAGAAAAGGGAGGAAGGGGAAGGTGACCCCCGCAGGTCATGATATTAGAGTACGCGTAACAGGTGGGCATCTCTGGCTCCTCTTTTTCGGGAGCAACTGAAATAACAAGGTCCGTCGTGTGCCCCTGGATCTGCCCAGTAACTGACGGGTGGATCCCGGGGAAGAACGAAAATTACTCTCGCACCCAACACGTGCTCGCCGTCTACCCGCGGGGCCTGGGCTTGCAACAGATGAGCCGGAGAAAAGGAGGAATTAGGGGGAACCTGTGCCGCAGATCATCGCGCCAACCTGCCAGGGTACCTGTGCACCTTCCACTCCAGCACGTATATATATGGACATACGGATAGCCAATCCCCCCATGTTTCAAAGATTCACGCTTTCTCATCCCAACTGTCTCTTGCACAAAAATGTATAAAAAATGACACTTATTTCGTGAGTGAAAAGACCATATCCGAGTTTTTGGTGGAAAAAGTGCGGTCTATAAGCGCATGACCAGACTTAAAGTTGTAATGTTTCTCCCGTTACGATTTACAATATTTGTGGAAGATTAATGAACTCCATATGTTTGCTGTAAGGGATTCAAGAAATTCCTGTCCGCGTTTTTAGTTTCGCTTACCTCAACTTGGAACAGTTTTGAAGGAAATATTAGAACGCTTAAATTTATAAGAGAAGCCCAGAGAAGTTACAACATACTGTATAACACAATTCGAGCTTTATATTTTGGGAGGTTTTTTGTTTAATTTTTAAGCAAGACTGCGAGAGTACCATCAAGACTTTTGATTTCGAACTCGTCCAGCGAAATTTTGCACAATTGAACCCAGGATTAGAAAAATATCAGCAGCCGAGAGGATGAGAGCAAAAATAACTTCCACGTGCAGAGCTTCTTATTCACATATTTCAAGCTTGCCTCGCAACCGCACCATCTGTAATTCTGATTCTGAAAAAAGTTGCGGTTCAAGAATAAAAAAAACGTTAGAATTTTTGTCATGGCAACTCTTCGTTGCTTTGAATTGAATATCAACGAGTTCCCAAATACCCCAAGGAGATTTTTATGAAGCTATTTTGGGCTGTGGGTAAAAGTCAGCAGTTCCTGGGAAAAATCAGCAGAAAAGTTACGTTCTTTCTGTCTTTGTAGAGAAACTCCTTTGTCCCAGAAAATTCAATATATCTTGGGTTGCTCTTATTGTTCCGAAAGTTGTCCATCTGTTGCAAGGATTACCCGCGGATCTGTTTGATTCATGATCAGCGCCCGCTCACAATCGGGGTGTGCAACCGCAGTCTAATTAATCACCTGTGGATGCAAATATTCTCGATCGCTGTCGTGGCGATGCCTTTGCGGCTTGTGCCCGAGAGTAAGTTGATAAGCACTGCGGGATTGCTAATATAAAGAATGAAGTATGGGACCATAAAAAAAAGAGAATCCAGGTTAGCTTTGCTAAGTGTACCTTGTTACGATTTTTTTTTTTTCAAATTGGCGGCCAGATGGTATTGCTACAAGTTTCGTGCGGTTTGAACTAAGCTCGTTCAACTATAGCTTTTTCAAGGCTAGTTTCAAAAGGTTCTTAGCTATAGTCGCTGCAGCAACCCGTTTTGTGCTTATGTTTTAGATAAAAACTTTTCGGCGAAGTAGCGTACCCCTTTTAACGTCATATCTGAGAGATAAAGCTGCTAATAATACAGACGTCGATAAAAAAGATGAATAAAAGAGGTCCGAAAACCCTCTGGAACGTTACAGTTAGAAAAGTTAACCTACTGTACACCTATTTTCGCTGGATATAGGGACTTATTTCTCTATTCTATCGTTGTGCAGTACATAGTTCACCCGTAACATTCCATATTCCTTTTCTTTGAATTTTGAGCAAAATCCCGTTCCTTCATTATGCGTGCTATTCTTTTCCAATAAAAAATTGGTGATGGTCATTGAGGACGTTTAGTTTTCCTTTGTTTGCGTAATGCTGATGCACGTAGAAGCAAAAAAGCTTTCTATTTTTTGACGGTGTCACAAATGTCACCTTTACGTCTCATCTCGAGTCCGTTCTTCGCGAATTTTAGAGATTTAAAATTGTTTCAGGAAAATTATGTCACGAAATTGAACGTACCTTTCCTCTTTCGATTGAAAAAAT